TATATGTATATAATTAAAAAAAAGATTTTAGCTTTAGGTTTATTCGTATTGTCAATAGTCGGCCATTTTTATTGCTCCACTATGACGTAGTGTCGGCCATCATTGTTTTCTAATTGTTGCTGTTGTCGGCCATCATTCTTTTCTAATTGTTGCTGTTATCGGCCATCATTCTTTTTCAATTGTTGTCGCATTGTCACTGATGTCGGCCATTATGGTTTTTTAATAGATGTATAGTAATCAGTGATTAAAATTTAAAGGAATTATTTGTAAATAGGTATGCAACACATCGTATTCTTCAGCATATGAAATTGCTGATACTAACTTTCATTTACAAACTACTTTACCCTGTGCTGACAGCACTCGTAATTTATTTTATATATAATATTAAGAATGACAATGAAAATGACTCTATCGTAATAAAAAATTTAAGAACTATTAAAGTTGAAAAAATTAAAATAAAATTGACGACTGCGAACGCCACATTTTCTTGGACCTGCTCCTCTCTTGTCATATTTCGTCACACTAAGTAATACCCCACCCTCCCTCTTATTTACTCTTATAAATAGTTCTTTACGGTTTGATACCTACCCTTTAGTAGGTATTATGTATTAATTTACTACTATTCAATTATTAACTTATAGTAAATGCCTAGGGAACGTGTGTGCGGGTCCGATACGATACTTTTATGAAATGAGCAGATCCCGTGGGATAATACAGAACAAAAAAACTGATTCACGGGAGAGAAACCGCTGCCTTGATATTGCTTGTAGTTATCAGCAAGCGTCGCTTGGTGTCGCGATGCAAGCGTCACGGCATTGCGCCGCTGCCGTCACCGTCTCCGTCGCGACGCCCTTTTCCGCGTCGTCCAGGCTAGATGGCAACAGCTGTCGAAGCCGATATCTATTTTCAGTACGCAACCACCCCATCAGATTACGTCGAGAATCGAACTAACTTCCCCAGCGGAGCCAGTGTTATAACTAAATGCTAGCGGGCCCTTGCGCCATATTGACGTCGTTGTCCTTATAGACAGAACAAATTTTAACGTTATTTGATGCTGTGAAACGGGCGGAAACTTTTTAATTTCGGCGTCGTCTTGTACGCGGATGCCAATCGAAAGCATCGAACGGTTTTTCACGTGGTGACACAAGACAGAGACCTGCTGCTGACATAACCCGTACAAACGGAGAAAATCCACGACGTGACGATGCCTGTCCGTAAGCAAGGTGGTAAGATTTTTTTGTTTTGCATTCATTTTTTTTTCTTTTTTTTTCCCTTGGTGTACGATTTCTAGTTATGAAATCCGTTGTGGCAGTTTGAATGCACGTCTTTTTTTTTGCGCCAGTATTCAGGGGATGATTTCGTCTAGTTGTAGGGGTGACGTTCGTCAGTTGACAAAGTTTCATCTGCACCACGACCACGTACGGCCGTTCACGAGCCTCGTGGTGGTACACGTGTTTGCTATTTGGAGGGGGTACGTCACTATTACACCGCCGAAATTTTAAATGAATACTATTTTACGTATTTATAGTCAAATCCGGTCTCATAATATCACGAACTGTACGAATTAAATAGAAAAACAGGAGTCAAAAAATATAGATAGATACCTACACCTGGATATTCGTTGGGGAATTTCCAGATCTCTTTCTTTCTCGAAATAGATTATTATTAAAAACAAACATCAAAGTATCTACTCTTTTTTTTGTTTTGGTTTCTACTTGAGGATGTAAAAATAAGATAATTGCTTTTCGTTATTCATAAGTTGTCACTTAAGTGTTAAAAGGGAAATCTGCTAATGAAAACTTAGAACTTAGTAAAATTTTAAAGCTTGTATGATTTAAAAACTTAAAATTTAAATTTGAATATTGTTCGTACAACAGATGTCGCAAGTAGTATAAAGAAAATGAAATTACCTTCACGTTCTCTATGATAGATGGCTAGCGCATCCTATTAAGTTTCCATTGTCTTCTCATTTCTGCGTATAGATGGCCAAGCATGTACGATTTATTTCGAAATTTCGGAACGCGGTTATCAAAATACAGGGAAATGCAGAATTAAATATAACTTTTTATCCGAATTAAACTCCCATAAGGTTTTTTCTACATTCATTCAAATTTTACTTTTTACATAATTACATAATCAAAATTATGGATAATCGTTCAACAGTGCAAAATTTTTATAAATGCCGTTGCTTGGACGGTTTGTTTAATTATAAATTCAGCGATGTGATAGTTTAGAAATGATGCTGAATTTAAAAACACGACAATTTGATAAATCGCTTCCGTTATTATCCAGTTTGAATATAAATCTTTTTAAAATAATAACACAAAGTAGCAGTTAATGATAAATTTAAAAACGCTACTGAAAGCCGAAATATCTAAATAGATTTCATATAAGCCTAAATTTCCAAAATTTCACTAATAGTTTCTTATATTCTAAAAATTTGATTGTTTCCTTTTTAAGATGGCTCAAAAAGCATTGAATTCAGGAGCGCAAGAAGGGGGAGTCCACGGGTGCTCGGGCATGAATAGCCTAACTGACTATAATAATTCGAAGTGGTCTGTATTCTGTCGAAACTGCCAGACGCGAATCGCGATTTCGGTCTTTTTGGATCTCATCAGCGCGTTGCAGGCAGCTCCGATTGAACACAGACCAACTTTTACCTGCTGTCTTAACAGTGCGTTTTGCAAAATACTACAAATGGCGCAGTAAACGCCATCTGTAGCACGATGTCACATTTTAGGATTACGTATGCTCCAACAAGGTCCACTTGTGTGGATATCTACTTGCTGAAAACNGCTCTAGATTTATTCGTATTGTCAATAGTCGGCCATTTTTATTGCTCCACTATGACGTAGTGTCGGCCATCATTGTTTTCTAATTGTTGCTGTTGTCGGCCATCATTCTTTTCTAATTGTTGCTGTTATCGGCCATCATTCTTTTTCAATTGTTGTCGCATTGTCACTGATGTCGGCCATTATGGTTTTTTAATAGATGTATAGTAATCAGTGATTAAAATTTAAAGGAATTATTTGTAAATAGGTATGCAACACATCGTATTCTTCAGCATATGAAATTGCTGATACTAACTTTCATTTACAAACTACTTTACCCTGTGCTGACAGCACTCGTAATTTATTTTATATATAATATTAAGAATGACAATGAAAATGACTCTATCGTAATAAAAAATTTAAGAACTATTAAAGTTGAAAAAATTAAAATAAAATTGACGACTGCGAACGCCACATTTTCTTGGACCTGCTCCTCTCTTGTCATATTTCGTCACACTAAGTAATACCCCACCCTCCCTCTTATTTACTCTTATAAATAGTTCTTTACGGTTTGATACCTACCCTTTAGTAGGTATTATGTATTAATTTACTACTATTCAATTATTAACTTATAGTAAATGCCTAGGGAACGTGTGTGCGGGTCCGATACGATACTTTTATGAAATGAGCAGATCCCGTGGGATAATACAGAACAAAAAAACTGATTCACGGGAGAGAAACCGCTGCCTTGATATTGCTTGTAGTTATCAGCAAGCGTCGCTTGGTGTCGCGATGCAAGCGTCACGGCATTGCGCCGCTGCCGTCACCGTCTCCGTCGCGACGCCCTTTTCCGCGTCGTCCAGGCTAGATGGCAACAGCTGTCGAAGCCGATATCTATTTTCAGTACGCAACCACCCCATCAGATTACGTCGAGAATCGAACTAACTTCCCCAGCGGAGCCAGTGTTATAACTAAATGCTAGCGGGCCCTTGCGCCATATTGACGTCGTTGTCCTTATAGACAGAACAAATTTTAACGTTATTTGATGCTGTGAAACGGGCGGAAACTTTTTAATTTCGGCGTCGTCTTGTACGCGGATGCCAATCGAAAGCATCGAACGGTTTTTCACGTGGTGACACAAGACAGAGACCTGCTGCTGACATAACCCGTACAAACGGAGAAAATCCACGACGTGACGATGCCTGTCCGTAAGCAAGGTGGTAAGATTTTTTTGTTTTGCATTCATTTTTTTTTCTTTTTTTTTCCCTTGGTGTACGATTTCTAGTTATGAAATCCGTTGTGGCAGTTTGAATGCACGTCTTTTTTTTTGCGCCAGTATTCAGGGGATGATTTCGTCTAGTTGTAGGGGTGACGTTCGTCAGTTGACAAAGTTTCATCTGCACCACGACCACGTACGGCCGTTCACGAGCCTCGTGGTGGTACACGTGTTTGCTATTTGGAGGGGGTACGTCACTATTACACCGCCGAAATTTTAAATGAATACTATTTTACGTATTTATAGTCAAATCCGGTCTCATAATATCACGAACTGTACGAATTAAATAGAAAAACAGGAGTCAAAAAATATAGATAGATACCTACACCTGGATATTCGTTGGGGAATTTCCAGATCTCTTTCTTTCTCGAAATAGATTATTATTAAAAACAAACATCAAAGTATCTACTCTTTTTTTTGTTTTGGTTTCTACTTGAGGATGTAAAAATAAGATAATTGCTTTTCGTTATTCATATTGTCAAAGTTGTCACTTAAGTGTTAAAAGGGAAATCTGCTAATGAAAACTTAGAACTTAGAACCACTGAAAATTAGTCTTTTATACTATTTTCTTATGCCGAAATTGTTTGTAGTTTTTACTTCATAAATTGTATGACCTGCACGTCAAGAACGGTTTTGACTATATGGTGGTTTTCCGAAGCTTTTGGTTTTAGAAAAATAAGCGTGAAAAGTAGAAAGATGAGCAAATGAAAATGAAGAGTAGGTACTACATTTTTTATAGTACCATTTTCCACCACGGAATAATTTTCTATTGTTTTTGCAAAGGTACAGACCTATTTAAACATACCTAGGTACATAAAGTAGATATTATGAATATACAGTGGATTTCGGGTGTAAGGACGACGAACGGACTCTGTAATACCGTCGTTATATCCGGAAGTTTTTACAGTCCAGGGTAAAGAAATACAGACACATATGTATAGTTCTTACTATTTTTCAATTTTGAAACGATTTCCGCCTTTTTTTTGACAGTAAATGTGCATTTAGATCTAGGAGTGAACAAGATAAGAAAGCTCTTTCTGTCTTTGGCGGCCAACTTCAATCGCTATATCTGCATGAGATTACTAGGGATTTGTTCCAAATGATTCATTAAAAAAAGTCGCTACACCCGAACTGGGCGCTATACCCGAAGTCGCTATAGCCACACGAATTATGTACTAAAGTATGCTTTAAATTTAGGGACTTAGATTTAACGTCGCTATAACCAAGGTCGTAATAAACGGAATCCACTCACTGTAATTAACTTTAGTACAGTAGAGGTCAACTCTATCAACTTTTTTTAGGAATTTTCGTAAACAGTATCGCTCCAAATTCATTTAGTTACGGGTTAGGGACTTATGGTTAGTAATAAATTTGTAGTTTCGTCAAAGCGTGAAATTGTGTGTTCGTAATCCATTGATTGTATTTATTGGTTAGTGGCAATGCGGCGTGGTGTTTGTAAGACGTAGGAAACTGTCGAACGGAACATTTAACGGGTCAGTGGTACACCGTTGACGACATTAGTGACCCATAAAAATCCCTTTTCGCATCTGTTGATTACTCTTTGAAGGAAACTAAAAATATCGAGTAAGTATTTCCGTCCAGCGTCGTTTTACGCCGTTGTGCGAGAGAAAACTGTGGTCGAAAGGTCGAAAACGTCTGAAGCTTATTTACACAACGAATTATTATCGAGGTTTTACGTTTTACTTCAACAAAAGCACTGATTCTTCGAGTTTATTTGTAGTGCTGATTTTAAGGGTTTCGTTTTCTCATCCTGAGATACGGAACATTAAAAACGGGGTTAATAAAACTTTACTTAAAACCTTGCAGGAAAACACACTTAGAGGAAGATAGATGGAACTATTTCGATTGCCCATTAAGGATATCCAGGGCAGAATCGTTTAATTATTAATTAAAAAAAAAAACCGGTTCCGGAAATCGAGTTTTGAAGATTTATTCCATGTTTTAAGTTTCCTTCCAAAATCAGTCCCCAAACACATAGGTACAATACATCAACGTATGCGTTTATACTTGAATATATACAATACGTACAATAAGTATAATTGTACCTTAAAAGTCCTTAAGGAAGAATGCAACTTTAAGGGACCATATCTCAAAAAAAGATGAGTTTTTACGACGAAATACCAGAATCCGAAATTTTAAAGAGTTTGACAGAGAGTTATTTTCCGTAAGGACCTAGTCGAGTCCTTTACGTTTTTTGGATTGTTCCCTTTTATTTGTGCTATAATAAGGCACTGCTTCTTGCCAATCTTTCTAATTCTAAGTCAAAGGGAAGTACCCTATAGGTTTTAATTTCCTTGTGAGTGTTAAAATTTTGGGGATGGGAATAAAAAAGGCAGGTAGAAGTATTCTACAAAAGATATATAAAAAGGATATACGTCGGACTATGTAATAAGAAGTGAGATAAAATGTAGGAAGAAGCAATAAAAAGGGTAGTAAAATATGAGGATGGATTAGGAATGCTAGAAGAAGGAAAGAAATATGGAGGAAGAAGGTAATGAAAATAGGAATAAAAAGTGGATATGATAGGGAAAGAGAGGGAGCCTTAAAGATAATAAAAATAAATCACGAGCAGATGAGGGAATGGTTCAAGGAAAGGAAAAAGGTTGAAAAATTGGTGGGAAATAGATGCAAGGAAATAATAAGGGGAGAGGATTTAAGAGATATCTGGATATTTGGTGGGTATGAAGGGGATTATATGGAGGGACTGTCAGGGATAATGGGCGCCAAAGTATTTACAAGAGGGAAAGGGGACAAGTGTGGTAGCAAGATTTAGGACAGGGAACGAATGTAGGGGTTGTGATATGTAAAAAAGAGGAAGAAAGCATAAAACATGTGAGAATGTTGGGACATGGGACGAATGTCACTGAATCAGTTAACGAGGATTTAAAAAAATAGAAAATAATATTGGGTTGTAAGGTCAAAATTTTAGAAGAAGTGACTGACTAGTAAGGATACAAAAGCAGAGGACAGCGCAGGGTCGAGTCGCCTTCAATAAAAAGAAGTCACTTCTATGTTCGCGAACGACTGATTTAGAAATTCGAAAATGATTGTTAAAGGTGTATGTTAGGAGCTCAGCGCTGACGGGTGCGAAACATAGATGGTGGGCGTTGAGGAAAAGAAAAGGTTAGAAACATTCGAAATGTGGTGTTACAGGCGACCGATGAGGATACCGTGGATACAGAAGGTTAGAAATGAAGAGGTTTTAGAAAGAATGGAAGAACAGAAGACTATATGAAAATTAATAAAAAATAGGCGAGATAGGTTGATAGAATACCTTTTCAGGTATGAAGGTCTAGTCAGAGACATATTAGTGACAGAAACAGGAGTTAGGTGGAGTAGAGGTAAACCTAGATTACATTACTGTTCGCAAATAGTTAATGGAAAGACAAGAGAATTGATAACATTTTGTGAATATCAAATAGGGATTGTAAAATGAAACTATTGTTGAAAAATAATGTAAGATTAATGTAAAGATAACTAAAGGTTAATATAGATAAAATAACTAAATTTGGAGTTTTCAATGTAGAACTCTTGTAATAAACGTTTACAGCTTTACTAGATTAAAGGTTTCCTAAATAGCATGTGTGAAGTACTGTGCAGTACCGACCGAAAGTAACACCCACCGTATAAATTTGGACAGGGTCAATAATTAACCATAAATATAGAAAATCATTAGAATTTTTTGTACAATTGATATTCTTATTCTTGTATAAGTTTCATAATTAGTCTTTAGAGACTTCGATGGAACATCTGGAATATTTTCAAAATGCAATAAATTACGAAGTAAATATATGTAAAGCATGAAAACCTACTACATTTTTACATCAGCGTGTGTTAACATTCTGCGTTTAATTATAAATTCAGCGATGTGATAGTTTAGAAATGATGCTGAATTTAAAAACACGACAATTTGATAAATCGCTTCCGTTATTATCCAGTTTGAATATAAATCTTTTTAAAATAATAACACAAAGTAGCAGTTAATGATAAATTTAAAAACGCTACTGAAAGCCGAAATATCTAAATAGATTTCATATAAGCCTAAATTTCCAAAATTTCACTAATAGTTTCTTATATTCTAAAAATTTGATTGTTTCCTTTTTAAGATGGCTCAAAAAGCATTGAATTCAGGAGCGCAAGAAGGGGGAGTCCACGGGTGCTCGGGCATGAATAGCCTAACTGACTATAATAATTCGAAGTGGTCTGTATTCTGTCGAAACTGCCAGACGCGAATCGCGATTTCGGTCTTTTTGGATCTCATCAGCGCGTTGCAGGCAGCTCCGATTGAACACAGACCAACTTTTACCTGCTGTCTTAACAGTGCGTTTTGCAAAATACTACAAATGGCGCAGTAAACGCCATCTGTAGCACGATGTCACATTTTAGGATTACGTATGCTCCAACAAGGTCCACTTGTGTGGATATCTACTTGCTGAAAACGAATCCCGGCGTAGCCAACCTCAACGTGATAGGCACGTTAGCTTAATCGAATAAAATAATTCGAAGTGGTCTGTATTTTAGCCTAAATGACCTTTTTTTGTCATTTATTGGCGAGCACCCAGTCAAATTGTAACGTTGTTGCGACCCTGATTGAATTGATTTAAATCAGGGACTTTTCATTTATATATAACGAAATCTACAAGGGGTTCTAGGTCTCATTTTGCACAAAACTTCCCCGTACCTCTGGTCATACCTACATAGCGCGATGATTAAGTGGTTTTGATACTTTCCAACGTTTTGCTTATATAGAGTCATCTATTAGTCTATCGTCATCTATGGAAGTACGACATTATATAGGATAATTTGTACAAATACGTTCAGCCATATTTTCCTATGAATAATGAAGTGAAATGAATCGTATGAATAATGAAGTCCAATAAATGTGATTTAAAGCTTTTGAGGATTATTATCCTTCTTTTGAAT